TGGATTTGTGAATCTATGCTCTAGGTAGTCGAGTTTTTTCTCTACTATATTTGATAATTTCTGTAGTTCTGAAAATATATTTTGCAAAGTCAAGACCTCTATTTTTCCTTGGGATTGTGTCATTCTGACAAGCACAGCTACTCTGGCTTGAAAGATCAACAAAATTAAAGCATAGATTCACAAATCCATCCGTTTCAAAAGGTTTGCATAGATTCGATCCCTGTAAATAACATTTAAAAAATAAGATAACCACTGTCCAAAACGATTCCAAATTCGATTCCGCCACTTGATTCTTCTATTTTTTAATTTAAATTGGTTTTTGAGTTTTTTATAGGCAGTCTCTTCTTTTAAAACAATAAAAATTCCTCATCAGCTGGAAACACTTTTTCTTTCCGTATCCTTCCGTTTTGGAGCCGCCTCGACTTTGTTAGCCTTGGCTGGATTTTTTTGTCATCAGCTTGAAGAACTTCTCTTGCTTCTTTCGAGGATTTTGCGATAACCCCGAGATCAGCAAGACATTCTTCCAGTTCACCTTCTCTTTGGGATGGTTAGGTCCATTTAGACCACCCAGTGGCAAAAGTGTTGGTTGTGGTCTCAGAGCATTGAGACCACACAACCATCTCATCGCGACATTGGCTCCTCCTCCTATTGTAACAATAAATATTAATGTGTTATTAAACTAAGTTAATCATTTAGATTTCAGAAGAATGGGAGCAGATGTGTGTGGTTCAGAGACTCTTTAAAGCTCCTGTACCACTGAATGGATGATGGAAATATGGCAACAGGATATGTATGTAAGAGAGGATGTTGTAATATAAACAGTAAGTGACATATATCCCTTAAATCAGAGTAAACCTTGCAATAAGGCTACCACTGGTCATTTAATTGACAAATAAATAAATATTTATTTATGCATTTATTTATTTATATATTTATCAATCAAATTTGGAAACCATACATCTCATGCTCAAATGGACACAAATCCTTAATTCTCATATTTATCCCATGACTGAACTTACTCATTCTTTACCAATCTTATTTTAAGTATTTAATGCTAGAATAGTGTTTTTAATTTAAATTAATCAACTATAAATTTATTTATATTATGAAAAAGACAGTTCTTCTGCCATAGCTTCCTATTACCAGGTTTTTTTTTTTTTGCATTTTCCTTTCATATTTGCTTTAGAGATACATAACCCCTTGATAATGTATGTCTGAAATATGACCAACGGGTGTTCTTTCTACATCTAATCTTATTTTATATTGAAACCCAAATTTTAAGAAAAAATACTACAAAAACTTCACTGATTTTAGTGAAGTTTGGAAGTCCAGGAATCTGAACTTTCATTTTTTTTAATTGCACATACATTAAAACTACTCAAGCCTTTAATCATTTGAAACTCTGAAAAGCTAAGCAATTTTCAGATAGCTTGCCTTTTCACAATTACTAATATATATCTATTATTCATCTAATAGACGATTGCTTTTAATATTGTACATAAATAGTTTGATATGAGAAGGCTATACCCTCATTGCTTGTTTTTATATTTCCATATTTGGAAATTGAGACATCTGCTAACAACTTGCTGCCAATCAAAATATGCACCTCTTTCTACCTTTTCCCATCATTCCATTTAAAAATGTTTTTAACTATAGTTCTATACTATTACTTACATTATTCAGGATAGTTTATTGTAATTAAATTTACTCTAACTTTATACTTCACAAAAATGTTAAGATCTTAAAATCAACCAAGTGAAGGAATAATTTAAATAAAATTAATACCCATCAAAGTTGAAGAAAACCTTCCTCTTGAGGCTAATTATCTTGTATATTTACCAGTAGGTTTTACTCATTCCAACCATTATTTGCTCTTTCCTGTCATTTTTTTTCATCCCAAAATAAAGACAGAGCTCTGATAATAATTTTGAATATCTTGAAAGTCCTGAAGATTTTGGAGATTAAACTATAAGAGCAAAACTGATTTTGAAAAGCAGCTGAATGTTTAAAGCTGGAAGACATGATTGTAATGCAGCTCTGATTTTTAAATATATATTCTTGACGCACTGAGTGGTATTCACTTACCTTCACTACCGGTTCGCAAATTTGAGCTTGTACGTATCCGCACATGCGCTTGGGCATCTGCGCATGCACTTTGGCTAAAATAAATGCCTAAATGGAATGACATAGTGCTGGGGTGGGTGGGCAGGGCCACCTGCTATTTCTGCTACCGGTTCGGGCAAACCGGTCCAAACCGGCAGAATACCACTTCTGGAGTACGCACTAAAAAAGGGCAGAGTCCAGGTTCCTCCAAATAACAAAGCCATCTATCAGGATCTAGATCTGAAACAGATCTTCCCTGTCACAGTCCCGGACCGCTTGAATGGTATCCCATCAGAGATCCATATGACTGCTACTCTGATGGTGTTCTGAAAGTCTTTGAAAACTAAGCTCCTTCTCCTAGGCTTAGGGAGAGAGGCGAGAGTGATTTTGAACCCCTATTGTTGTTTTGCAGAAAAGTGGAGGTCTCATTGATGATCTTTCTCTTTTCCCTTATTGTTCTCGTCTTTACAATTTAACTTACCCAGAGTCGTAAGGGTTGGGAGACTTCTTCTACATTTAATAACATAAATAAAATATCTTTCTGACTTTGCCTATAATAGATATAATTTCATAAGTCTATTTTCTTGTAGCTCTTTTAAAAATCAACAATCTGTAATGAAGACATTTCTCAAATGAAGAAAGAAACATGTTTATAGATAATAATGGAAAACTGATAATAGTCTTTAGACCAAATCTTAGGTGGTATCATAAAAAGTTTGTAATTCTGTAAAAAAATACCCCAAAAACCTATTAAAATATATTCTGGACACAACTGAACAGATGAAACCTTTCCCTTTACCTTACATGGACATTACAGTTACTATAGTGTAGTAGAGTAAAATCATTAATAATAAATCTTATTAATTTTTACATTTATCTTTATATAATTGTTTAACACAGAAAAGCTTTGCAAATAAAATATACAGCTACTTTGTTATATTTTCAGTTGTTTCAGTCCTTTTTAAGATTAGAAATTTTGTTAAATAGTTATCATCAGTTCAAACATTATTAGCTTTCTCAAATGTTTAAATATATTGCATATTATAGTTTCTACTATAGTTTCTACTTGAATAAGTTGTACTCTCTGATGCATAAAGATTCCAGAATTGGAACTAGGAAGTTAATAAACCATTTTATAAACCACACCAGGTCTCATATTTAATAGATAACTGATA